CGGACATAGCTCAGTGGCACAAGCTTCTGCCTGACAAACACAAGGTCCTGAGTTTGATTCCTGGTACCACAAAAAAAAAAAAAAAAAAAAAAAAAAACTAGCTCCCAAGTTACTCAAATTATTTAAAAATCAGGAACATATTCTAATAGCTTAGGCATTCCATATTTATATCATTAAATGACAAAATGACAAGGCTCTCACATGCATCTTTATGAAAAAGCTTTATTAATAATAGTAGGGGGAGCAGAGGGAACAGTCCTAAGGATTGCACTTAGAGCCTCACTCATGCCATGCAAATGTTCTAGCCCTGAGCTGGCCTCAGTCCATGTATGTGTGCAAATATATATGAGTGTATGTACATAATACAGCCTAGCCTATATGTGTGCAGAACTATAACCCCAGCACCAGGGGCAGTACTGAGGCAGGAGGACTGCTGTGAGTTTAAGGCCAGCCTGAGCTACAAAGTTCAAGGACAGCCTGAATTGCACAGAAAAACCCTGTCTCAAGAAGACAAAAAAAAAACAAACAAAAACCTTGCCTAAACTGCCTGCCCTGACACTTGTCAGCCTCCATCACTGTGCCCAGTACTAAATAATGTTTTTATTTTCTTTTTTTGGCGGAACCAGGGATTGAACTCAGACCCTTGCGCTTGCCAGGGAAGTGCTTATTCTACTAAGCCATCTTCCTGGGCCCAATACTAAATAACTTTTACGAGCAAAAAAATTTTAAAAAGTCAGTCTGGTAAATATTACTAAGTTTTACTCATAATTTTTACCACATTATAATATCATACAGAAAACAAAAGTTTTAACTACCACATAGTCTAGAGATCAAAATAATAAAACTAATTTTGACTTAACACGATCTTCAAATTTGTAATGTCAACTATATTAGTAATCTGGAAAAGCCTTTAAAAAGCTGATCTGGGGTCCTGGCCCTAGCTCAGTTCTTTCAGTGGCTGCTTCCACAAAGCTGTCAGGCTCAGGTGACTGTGGTTTGATCCCCACAACTCAAGCCAGCCAAACCTGCCCTGAAGGCATTCCGAGAAAAAAAAAAATCTTTCTGCCTTTTGGGGCCGGGGAAATGGCTCAGTGGAATAAGCGCTTCCCTGGCAAGCTCAAGGGCCTGAGTTCAATCCCTGGTTCAGCCAAAAAAAAAAAAAGCTGACCTACCTGCAGATGTTGCATATGTACTAGCACAGGCCTATCTGGCTCCAAATGTCACTCATATTTTGGAAGGGTACTTTTCCAAGATTTCATAAACAATTTAATCAGATTAAAAGTGTTTCTCAACAAAAATTTCCCTTCCTGAGCTCAGTTCTCACATCAAATATAATCACTTAAAATATTCTTATTTACTTTAGTTTTTAGTAGTCCTAGGCATAACACCAGTTACTGAAGTTACTTAATACATATGATCAATGGATTTTTCTTTCTTCTGCTTTATAGGCAAGAATTACATTCCCATACAAATGAGTTTGGGTCAGCCAAGCAGCACCAGGAGAAGCAGACCATGGGATCACTAACCCCACCAACTCACCCCTGTTGGTCAGCTCTTGGCCTCAAGAGTACCAGCCAAGCACACAGCCAGGTAAACACAAACCTACTATCACCATGCTCTAGTGAGCATCTTACTACAATCAATCACCCTGGGAAAGTGCCACAATAATATACCTGCCAGATCCTAATGCACATGATAAAGTTCAAAATCTATTTCAGTTGCTAAATAAGATCATTTAAAATCTATATTCATTTCTAGTATGAATATTCTAGTATGAAAGTCTTCTGTAGCCCAAAACTGTGTCAGGGATTGATGAGTGCACTCCATACATAGGTCCAGCAATCCTGCCTTGTTCACTTGTGGAACTGGGGACTGAACTCAGGCTCTTGTGCTTGTCAGGCAAGCACTTATTCTACTGAGCTATTGCCCCAGCCCCTAAACCAATATTTATACTTTAAAAATGCCAACATATGCCCAGCTGGAGGTGTTATTCAGTGACAGAGTGCATACTTAGCATGCACAAGAACCGGGCTTCAGTCTCCAGTATCAAAATGGGTTTTTGTTGTTGTTGTTTTTTTGTTTTTGTTTTTTTTGCAGAACCTGGGATTGAACTCAGGCCCTTGTGCTGTCCAGGCAAGCACTTATTCTACTGAGCCATTTCCCTGGCCCCAAAAATTTTAAATAAATAAAATGCAAATACAACTAAATTTTCACTCCCACTGCTAAGATAACAGTATTCTTCTCGGGGCCGGGGAGATGGCTCAGTAGAATTAAGTGCTTCCCTGGCAAGCGCAAGGGCATGAGTTCAATCCCAGGTTCCACAAAAAAAAAAAAAAAAAGTATTCTTCTTTCTGCAACAGGAATGCACAAAATATTTTACAAAGACGACTGCTGATCCTTTTAATCTCTCACATTTATATTCCACACTTTAACCCTCATGTAGCAATTATAATCTAAGAACCCTCCAAGTTATAATAAAATTTATCCTTCAGATAGACAAGTGTATTTCTTTATTATTTATTGAAAATAACTAAAATCCAATCACTTTTCCACCCCCAATTTTTGTTTTTTTTTTTATCTTTTATTTATTTATTTGTTATAGAGTCTCACTACACAGCTCGGACATGTAGTGAATCTCCTGTCTCAGCTTCCCCAGTGCTGAAATCACAGACACGCACCACCATGCTGGGTTTCAGGGCCTGCACAGGGTGCCTGAGGTTCCAGGGATCAAACCTGGGTCCTTGCACTTGCCAGGCAGGCACTTAGCCCGCCAAGCTATCTCACAGCCCCTTCACCCCCAATTTCTTGTCTGACTTACAGCTCTCTCCTATAAACAACTGGACAGGGGCCAGGCATGGTAACACACATTTGTAATCCTAGCACTGAAGGCACTGAGCCAAGAGGACTGCAGCAAGTTCGAGGCCAGGCTGAACTACACAGCAAGACCCCATCTAAAAACAAACAAAAACACTGCACAAGGCAACAAAACTAGCACTTCAGTTCTTTAGGTTGTGTCTCTGGTCAGACTGTGAGTACCCAGAGGATGGCATGGGCTTCTCCAGTCCCCAACCACCACAGCCCACTACAAAGCACAAATTAACCAGGCTTAGCTTGTCTCTTCGTATGTGCCCGAGACTGGTCTTAGAGCCCCACACCTCACACAATTATCTGCTGCTGCTTCAGTCCCTCCTGTAAAATGGCATCATATCTGCATGCATCCTACCATATCATCTCTAAATCATTTATTATACCTAAAACAATATGTCACGTAAATACTTGCCACACCATACCTTTCAGGGAATGACAAGAAAAGTCTGCGCATTTTTACCACAGTAGAGAGACAATTTTTTCCCAATATATATTTTCAATCTTAGCTGATGGAATCAATAACAGGGACCCCACTAAGAAGATGGACCTATGTATGCAGCACACTCATCAATCCCTAACACAGTTCTGAGCCATAGAAGACTTTCAAATACATTTTGTGAAAAATTGGGCAACTGATCCTGTATTCCATATACTAGTCAGCAAAGTACCTCACAAAATAGCTATTTCTATTGTTTTAATTCATCTTTGATATAAGGCACATTCTTTTCCTACTGCAAACTGCCTCTTTGGAGAGAAATGGTTTAGATCATGTTGGGTTAGTTCATTCTCAAATATAAATGTTCCCCACACGATAATATAAATTTCAGTACGTCTAATCAAATAAAATTTCATAATACCATCTTTGATCAGCCATGTGGTCCTCATAAAATATGAGCCCTTTTTATTAAAAAAAAAAAAAGAAAATGTAGGAGCTGGGGAGATGGCTCAGTGGAATAAGTGCTTCCCTGGCAAGCACAAGTGCCTGAGTTCAATCCCCGGTTCTGCAAAAAAAAAAAAAGTATACTACAATTTGAGAATGCTTCCCAACATAGCCAATGTTAAGAACATGTCTAGAGAGATGGAAGTAGGAGCAAGAATTTTAAAAGCCCAGGTCTGTGCATGCCTTATAATCCCAGCAAAACAGAGGCTGAGGCAGAAACATCACAACGAGTTCGAGGCCAGCCTGTATTACAAAATGAGTTCAAGGCCAGCCTGAACTACATAGCAAGACCCTGCCTCAAAAATAAATAAATAAGTAATTTAAATATTTTTAAATTAAATTAAAAATAAATTTTAAAGACCAAAAAGAAACAGTTTAACACAGTGCCTCCATTTCCACCTTCATCCCAAGAACATTTAAATAGGAAAGAAAAAAATGCAGGCAGGATCTGTAATTTAAAATGAGCCCTAATCAAAACAAAAGATGCTGGATTTCTAAAACGTGTTTTAATCTGCTATCCTTCCAAATTATTTATAAAGGAAGTTTTCCTTAAAAAAAAAAAAACCACAAAATATTCTGCTTCACCCAGATCCAGCTGCATCTCAGCACTCACACCAATATCTTCCGCCCACACGCGCGTGCGAACGTGAACACGCACACTCGCTACCGTTATGAGTCCCTGTGCCAAATCAACCATCATTGGGGGGAAAAAAATCAAGCCATGAGGTTGATTTGTCAAATTCTGACAGTTCTTCCCAGAGGAAAACGAACCATTCTAACGGGACCTGGGTGTGGGGACTGCTCTTTCTCATGCAGCTTCCCATTCTCTAGAGGGAGAAAGAGGGCATTAACTTCCCACAAGACAAGTGCTTTTCTACTGTATCCCTGTAAAACCTAAAAAGAATGATAATAATAATGTTTTGGGGACATCTGTAGTAATACAACACTGAGAGAGGAATTTCACTCTGCAGTAGCATAGCTCCTTAAAAATCCTCCGGAATGACACGCGGGAGCGGGTGAACCATCACGCGCACACACGCACACTGACAGCGCGGGCGGTCGCGGCACAAGGGGCCCGGCGAGTGCAGGCGCCGCCCCGTCCCCTCCGCCGGGCGCCCGCCGCTCCCCACCCCCACGAGCTCGGGCGGCCCGGGAGCCCTGTTCCCCGCGGCCGAGCCGGCCCGCACCGCACCTGGATGTAGTTGCTCTCGCAGTAGTCGGCCACCCGCTCTAGGTTAGTGTAGCTGTCGAAGAGGGCCCGGCGGCCCCCCGGGATTTCCTCCTCCAGCAGCATCTGCAGCTCCGCCATCTTCACATCCTCCTCCGCCGCCGCCTCCTCATGCAGCCCGCAGGGACGGCGGCAGGGACGACGCCGGGGAAACCCGAGTCAGGGAGAGGAGGCGCAGCGGCTACGGTGGGGACACCAACGGGCGGGCGGAGCGAGCGGCTCCCCCAGAGCGTGGCCGGCCGGGAGGGGGCGACGGGCCGGAGGCGGGGCGAGAGCCTAGGGCCGCGAGGACGGTCACCGCGGCGACGGCGGCCGCGGCGCGCACGCGCGGTCCCTCCACCTCGCGCCCAAAAAAGATTCACGCCGCGCCCGCTGCGCCGCCCGCCTCCACTTCCGGCGTCTCCTAGCGACGGCGGGGCGGGGCCGGGATGCTCAATGCGCCTGTAAGGGGTTAACCCTTCCGGCGGCGTGGAGTTTTGTGCTATGGAGGCCTGCGGTGGCCTTTGTTGGACGGCGGCGACGGCACTCCCCCCGTCCCGCCAGCCTTCCGCGCCGCCATAGCCCCTCGCCTCAACGGATCCCAGGAGAGGCCTCCAACCTGGGGAGTTCAATTCCTGTGGCTGTCCTCTGGGGATGATGACACCCCGGGGACAGGCAGAGAGGCCACCTATTCCACTCTTCGTGTTGAACCTCTGCTCTCCCTTGCTCAGTGCGTTTTGGTTCTCTGCAGATCCGCGTTTCCACCGTTCGCTCTCTCTGAGTGCTTCCTCGCTGACAGCCTATTTTGTCACTTGTCTAGTTTTGTCAAACCCGTCAGTGTTTCCTTTATGAAATCATTGTTTAAACTTTGAAAACAGTTTTGCTGGTGCCAATTTACTTCTTCACAGGGTTGTTGCATGGATTAAGTAAAACGAAAACACCTTCAAAAACGTTAAGTACTGCTGAAATTTAAGATAGATAATTCTGATCTTGCACAGATACAGTCTGTTCTTATTCTCCACATACTGTCTTTCTGCCCAAAATTTGACTACCCCACGCACCGTCTAGTCTTGAAAAACCAGATCTCCTAACAACTGTGAGTTGCTGAGCCATGACTTTCATATGTGGTGTACAAAGTCCAGGGGTACAGAATAGGAGCCATTGTTTCAGCTCCTGACCTGGTGATCGCTTGCTTGACCCTTCTACAATGGATTCTCTCCTTTTTCAAGTGACAGAGAAACTATTTTGTACTGTCAATTATTTTAATACCATGTTATTTAATACCATACAAATTTCTGGACCAAACGCTAATGTTACATTGGAAACATGTAGTTATATTAGCAAAAGGAGTTTTCATTACAGAACCATTACAGGAATTAAAAGACTAAAAGTGTTGGCTTAGTCCAACTAAGGTTATTCTTAATCACTGTAAGGATCTTCTGAATGAGTATTAACATGAAAGATAGGGCTAGGGCTCAGTGATAGAGATGGAATTTTGTAGCACAGGCCCTGGATTCAATCCCCAGAACCAAGTAAGAAAGGAAAGGAAAAAGAAAAGTAGGTAGGTTTAATACAGAAGAAATGTAACTCCCAACCTGCTACATGTCAGATATGCCAAATTAGTGTCCCCTGAAATTGAAGAATAAATTCCAAAAAACAAAGGTTAAGTGGGGAATAGGAATAGCTCTTGAGAGACACGAGGGGTCCCAAGTGGGTTGCTACCAAGCCCCTTTGACAGGGGTAATTTATACAGCAGTACAACATGGGTTAAACTATAATCAACCAGTAAGATTATAGCCACTTAGCTAATATTGATCTGGTAAGGAAGCAGGGCATGTAACAAGGTTGTATGGCTGATTTGTAACTTCCAAAACAGGAACATTTTGAGAAAGGGATGAGTCTAAATGCCCTATCCCAAGTGTCATGACACGTATCTGGACTTAGTGCACTGGGCGATACTATTTACAACACAGTCTCAAGTTCTGCTTATAGGACAGGGAAGTCTGAAGGGCTGGCCATTGTGACTTTATCTTGAGGCCTGGTTTTCTTCAGATGTGCCTCCAGCCATCGTTCTGATGTCTTTGTTTTTCATGTACTTCCTTGAGAGCCCAGCCCTTTCTTTTTTTTTTTTTTTTTTTTTTTCTTTTCAAAGTTTTCCAGCCCTTTCTTGCTATACATTAATTTTTATCTGATGTGGCTCCCTCTAATAGGTCCAGGGCCACGTGGAGAATCAATGGACTGAAAGCAAAGTGATGAGATGGGTGATATAAATACCATAGACACTTGCTTTGGGAAATAAGACACATATGAATAATCAAATGAATAAATATTAAACCAACTTTCCTTTGAGACAAAACTTCAGCAGATGGAAAAACTATTAAACTTAAGAAGCTGTCCAGGTGGTAAGTTAAATGTAGACATACTCACCCCTGCTATACTTATTCCCATGTAGCGTTCTTCAATTACAACGAACAAATTTTCCTGGGAAGTGATTTCTCATACTAGGAATTACCAAGAGAAGATTCTAGTAGTTTTGCTAATTAGTATGTGAAGCCTCTTTGGATCTTTGATTCCTTAACTAAATATCAGAGGGTCCAACGTGGTCAGTACTATAGTTTTCAAACTTCAGTGACAATTAGCATCAACTGGGAAGCTTGTTGAAACAGGTTGTTGGGCCCTACTCCCAGGAGTTTCCAGTTCTTTTGGTCTAGCCTAACTTACAGTGTTAACAAGCTCACAGGTAATGCCAACAAAAGTATCCCTGTGGCTGTACAAAGCTCTATGATCCCAATTTCTGGGAAAGTGGAAATCTCCACCAAAATAAAATTTTCACACTCAGACCCCAGGATATATATATAATTTTGCTGCCTACAAAATCTATAAAAAGATACACAGTTACTTGGATCAAGATTGAGAATGTATACCTCACAAAAATCGTCCACTAAATACTTATTTTTTTTCATAATTTTATTGATAAATACATTTATTTAAGGAAAATACTTATTTTTATGTGTTTACTACAGGGCCTACATGGTCTCACTACACAGCTCAGACTCTAAAGATCGTTCCTGTTTTTCAGTCTCCCCAGCACTGGGATTACAGGTGTGTACTTCCATGCCCAGTCTCAGTCACCCTCTGAGCACACCCGCGAGGCAGAGCCAGCACAGCATGCCGGGGATCAAACCCAGTCCCTGCATATGCCAAAGCAGGCGTTTTAATCTGCTGAGCTATCCGACTGGCCCTAAGTAATTATTTTTTTATTTTATTTTATTTTTTGGCAGAACCAGGGATTGAACTCAGGCCCTTGTGCTTGCCAGGCAAGGGCTTATTCTACTGAGCAATCTCCCCAGCCCCAAGGAAAGTAGTTTATTTCCTATGAGATTTGTTTTAAGAAAAAGATAAGGCAAAAAAAGTTTGAGTTTCATACTTTTATCATCTCTGTAAATATACAAATTCAATTGTTAGCAAATTATCTTATGGAAACAATTATGAATTTGTACAGTGATACAGCTAACAATCTTCCTTTCTTTCTTCTGTTTTGTCGTTGAGAGCATCTTGCTATGTAACTCAGGCTGGCCTTGAGCTCATTATGTAGCCAACGGTGGCCTGTGAACTCGAAGCAATTACCCAGCCTTAGACTGCGGGGATTATAGAGACGTACCCACCACAACCAACCCTCGTACTTTGTAAATTCATAGTATGGTGTGCACTGTACTGAAAACACGCGGGCTTTCTGACCTGGGTAGTATGGACTTCAAGCCCCAGCAGTTATTGCGGTGGACACTTGGGGGGGGGGAACTATGGAGTCCGAGAGGGAGAAAAAATTATGCTCCCCTGTCCTTTCCCTCCCAGAAGCCCGCCAAGGAAAGTAGCTTAAATCTGTTCATTTTTATGACTTTTTAGATAAAATGGTAAAATAGCACAATTAAGACATCATTGGGGAGATAGCTTAGTAGAAGAAGTGCCTGCCTGGTGAGCAAAGGTTTTGGAGTTCAATCCCTGGTACCGCAAAAAATAAAGAAGACATCATAGGACGGCAGCTGTAATATTAGAACATTATGTTGACTATCATATAGATATAAATAAGCAAGCTTGGCTGGAGATATAGGTTGGCACGTCTGTAATCCCAGTGCTGGGGAGACTGAGATAGGAGGATCGCAATGAGTCTGAACTGCATAGTGAGATCTTGTATCAAACAATAAAAATAAATAAATAAGCAGTCTCTTTGTTTTTGGGACAAGAAATCATTTTTAAGATCTCTAAAGGGCCGGCCAAATAGCTCAGCAGATTAAAACATCTGCACGCAGGCACAGGAGCTGGGGTTTGATCCCCGATCTCAGGGGCCTGCTATGCTGGCCCCAACACCGGGGCACGCTGGGTGTGGTGGCATGCATGCCTGTAATCCCAGCTCTTGGGAGGCTGTAAACAGGCAGATCACTGTCAGTCAAATCTAGTAGTGAGACTCTAAGCCCCCATCCCTAAAATGGAAAAAAAAAAAAAAAAAAAAAAACCTCTAAGATTTTTACAATCTCTTTCTTAAATTTATTTTAGTCCCTTGTACATCTTTTGTAAGATAAACACATCCTACCTTTAAAAGCCATTACTTGGGAGAGATAGCTCAGCGGCTTAAACACCTGCCTGGCTGTCGGGCGCGGGCGCCCTGCTCCTCAGCCTTGCCCCTCCCGCTGGAGCTTCTGCTATGAGTCTTGTTTCCTGTATAGCCCTGGTCCCTGCTGGCAAGATTTGATTGGTTC